CACCCATGCGGCAGACGACTTCTTGAAGCTGTCTTACGGAGGGTGGGTAGGTAGCTGAACGTGATACAAATTGGACACTTCATTATTTATTTCAGGTGCGAATTGAGAGTTATGGAACGGTAATAAACAGTTAAACGACAGAACGCGGTAATAACTGTTATATTTCTTTTTGTAAAGGTTATTGATTCTATAACCTTAGCCAATGTTAATATTACGGAGTTTGTGGGCGGGGGGTGGGGTGGGGGGGGAAGTATTAGTATGAAGAAACGTGACAATTTCCATGGCCGAATTCAAGTCTGCGGACTAATTGCGAGGCGAATTCGGAGACGCGGCCTGCCTGCGGACGTACGGCAAGTGAAGTTGTTATGTAAATGGGAAAGGCTGCAGCTGCAGCCAAGCGTAGAGACGGAGCCCGACCGGGGTTAGGGACCTTTGGCCCCTGGGGCACTGAATTGTGGAGGGAGGGGAGAGAGAGGGGGGGGGGGGGCTGAGAGAGAGGGGGGGGGGGGCGAACCGGGGGGTGACTGGGGGAGGGAGGGAACGAGAGAGTGGGGGGGGGGGGCGAACCGGGGGGGGGGGGGGGCTGGGGGAGGGAGAGGGGGGTGCAGGGGGGCGGGGGGAGGAGAATTGAGGGTAGAGGGTGGAGGCGAATAGAAACCGGCTTGGGCAGTGCCTCGACAGGGAAGGTTTCCACGTTGTGATCGCCACAGCCTGCAGACTCGCGTGGAGTTAAACATATTTAGCCTTGCGCGCATTCACTCCACGGCTTGTTGTTTTCTACGCATGCATGTCTTTAGACTCGTTACCGCATTTTTATGGTAAGTGGAACGCGGGAAGTGATGCACTCTGCCTGTGGCTCTTGCTGCCGTTGTGTGTCTCTGTGTGTGCACGCGCGCGCGCGCTTTACGCGATAACAAACGATGCATATTGCGTGATTGATACGCGATGTTAATACGCGGCGTTGCGAACGCGACTTTTGCGTGCGTGCGAGCTCTGTATAGTCAAGGTGATCTCGACGCAACTTCAACTGCCTCCCGTCTTGATTAGTGCGTGCGTGTGTTTGCGTATTCGCGCGCGCGTGCGTGCGGAGGCTGCAACTTGAATCTCGACAATCCGACGACGATGCGTATACGTGAACAAAAAATTGCGACGCGCTTACTAATCTTGAGATTTGCGAATTGCGCGGCCCACCTTTTGTGCGCAGGGAGACTGCGCGTCCGTGTCTACCGCGGGCGCGGGGCGTTATTGTTGCAACAACTAACAACAACAAAAAAACAGCGCCGTGTGACAGCCGCCACGATCGAATGATAGCACAACCACGCGTGGCAATTGACCGCCGATTATACACGGCGAAGGACTGTATTATACCTTTTTTTTAATACCGCCGAAGTGACGTGATTTAGTCATACACTTATTGACGAACAAACAACAAGAACGCGTGGCTGCCCCATGTATTTATACTTCTTGGTCGCCGCTCTTTCAGAACATCTGATGTACAACGAGAGGAGAGAAATATTCTTACCGTAATGTGCTTACTACGTTCGTGTCTGCGAGCGTGCGGTGGATCTGTCACGTGTGCCGTGTGGCAAGTCCTTGAACTCAACACATTGACTCCGATGTCTCTCTCGCTCGCTCTCCGCGTGTTATCGTACTCCTGCGGAAATGTACCAACAACAACTAAGCAAAAAAAACTGTACGGCCACGCACGAACGTAATAGCGGGGTTATTCGACGGGCGCCTTTTTGCCTTTGCCTTGGCCTCCCAAACGTTTTGAGATGTTTCCTCCGGAAAAAAAAAACTAAATTGTTTTCGGAGCCACTACAACCGTTCACACCTATGCGTTGTTTGCTTTAGTATTTTACGTCCATCATTCTTAAAGCGCGGAGTCTTAAACGTGCGTTGCGTGGTTCGGAGCGCAGAGCGCGTGTGTGCCCGTTGTGCGCGCTATCTCGCATTGGGTCTACGGCATGAAGAGTGCAGTGATAAAATACAGCCGGGTACGGGTCAAGGACGACGCGAATATATAATATCTATTCACTTTTTTTCGAGAGAGAGAGAGAGAAGAGAGACTGTTTTGCGGACTCCACGTCCAAAAACACGACGGCGCAGACTTGAGCTATGAAACAGACGGGCAAATTGTCAAACTTAAGTTCTGTAAAAGCGAGCAAGACAAAAGGAGACAATGGTCGCACGTTTTACTTGTTAAATTGAGCTGTCATTTCGTCACAAAGCGAGAATACATACGTGCTGACTGATGTTTGTATGCTAAGTGATTGACTATGGCATCACGGATGGTTTAAGTTTGATCTGCCCATATTTTATTGTATAGGTATATTTACGTGTGTGTGTAGCTGAGATGTCAGTTAAAGAGATTTCGCAATTCTCAAAACATTGGGCGCATTGCACATTTTACAACAGTGTAAATAGTTTTATATTCGCGTGCACGTTAAGAATGTATTTAAGTTTAACGGCAATTGTTTTAGAATCGCAGAAACGTAATTGTACAAATAAATGAGGGGGGGCGGGGGGGGGGGCTGACATTGCGGTGATGTACATACAAAATACAAACTCTAATTTGAAACGCTCTAAAGCTATATGCCAGTGAATAGTCACAGAGGCTAATATTCCCTTTTGAATGTCTGCCTTTACCATGCGATTAATTTAAGTATTAACAATTGTAAGCATACCGCAGAAGATACGGTGAACAAAGCGGCAGTTGTGTCTACTGCACATCATTGGCTACGCAAACAAACCACGCGTATTGTAAAATACTGTAATGTTCTCGTAACGTCTTTGAACGGAATAACAACAACAACAACCTGCTAAAATCAGCTTGCAAACGTCTCGTAATGACACCGTGACTCAATGGATGAGTAACAATTGAACAAGCTATCGCAAAATATCGCTTAACTCGACACTGTATTTCGAGAAACGCCGCAATTTTAAAAAAAAGGAACACACAAGAGAGACTTTGCTTACTCTTTGCTCCGATTTGGCTCTCAACAACTCCGCCCCGGTGCGCGTTGTGGGAAAACGCGCACCGCGGCCGTGTTAAATGCGATATTACACGCTAGATGGCAGTAAGATACTGCTCCTTCACAGCACGGGCAAGAGGTGGGGGGGGGAAGGAGAGAGGGATAAAAAAAAATCCTCCACAGCCACAGTGATGAAGGGAGCGAGAGCCCACCGATTCCTAACCACACAACGTCGGCAGGAATAGTGGTAACGGCAGAACGTTCGCGGATACAAACCGGTGCGATTAACGCACAGAAACGTTTTCGCTTTTGCAAGATCTCGCCGTGACACGCACGATAGTCAAGTGCACGTCTGGTGGATACAGCTCTCCATTCTTCCCGTTGTATTTATTTAAACTATTTTTTTTTACTTTAAACAATTAAAACTAAGTAACACGTAGCTATCTCTTCGAGTCAAACTTTTCATTGAGCCGCTTTAAAGTTGTGTTTTTAAAGCTATAATTGCGCCCATCTTTCTCGGATATGAATTATTTATGAGATATAGTCGTGCACACGTGTGTACCAGGTAAAGGTGACACTCTGCACACAGCCCAGTCTACGATTCAATTAAGCGATTTGCTTCTCGGCAATTTCATCCGCGAGGTTAATTGATTCTGGAACATTGCTTTTTCTTGCTTGCCCAAACAATCTAGCTTAAAATACCAAAACTAAATCTGGGTAACGGCTTAAGCATATCATTGTGAAGTAACACGTTAATGTACGTATGTATGTTGAACTTCTTTCGCACCGTACGTAGCCCACCGTGCTAATCGGAAGGTGCGGGGGAAGGACAACAAACTAAACACAAAAACAATATTGGGTCAGTGTATGTGCGTGTATACGCGTGGAAATAGTTTTACCTTGCGAGTACATCACGCGCGTGTGTTTGTAACGTAGCCTATCTCGCCGCCGCACTGGTATGTGTCAGTAGCAATGTAAAAGTGTGGATTTTTTAAATATATATAATTATTCTCCATACGTCGGCCGATTCACGGAACAGGACCGCTCTCTTGCACCTACACCAGGCCTCGTCTGTATTATCCCATTGTTTTCAATGCTACAATGTTCGCGTCGTTTTAGAGACTAATGTCGATTTGGATCACCAAATGACCACTAAGAAACGGTACGACATCCGAGCATGACCCAGTTATATGACACATATTAAGCAAGGACTATTTGGCTTGCAATGAGGATTATCTTTTACCCGCAATAACCCAAATTATCCCGAGTGCTAGGGCGAGCCCCAAAGCACATTCAACCACCCACATAGCACCGTCTATTTCCGCCGACAAACAGCCGTAACGAGAGAGAGAGAGCGCGATTTGAGAACGCGATGCGAAACGTGGAGGAAAACGCGAACGAAAGCTCTAAAGGGAGGCAGGGCGAAGCCGAATCGGGAAGGCGGGGAGGGAGGGGGGTGGTGATGGTTGGTCGGCGATTCCGAAGAGCCCCTTCGACGAGCACGGTCGCGACCGCACACGAGTTACCCTGCCATGCACTACCCCCGGCTCTACCCCACAGGGGCCGGCCTGCCTGCCTCTCCCCATGAGCTTCCCCCCCACCCACCCCGTCCTCCCCCTCCCGCCCACCAACCCCCTTAAAGCACCCCCCACCACCACCACCATCCATCCCATAACCTCCCCAACCCCACTCCACCCACCCATACTACAACCCACACACAAACACCGCTCTCTCTCTCTCTCCACCCACCGCCCCGTCCAACCACCCCAACCTCCAACCCACCACCTCAACCGCCCCAACACGCACGCACACATTCGCTCTCTCTCTCTCTCCCTCCACGACACAACCACCCACCCACCCACACTCCCACCCACCCACCGCTCCACACTCCCGCCCACCCACCCACCCACCCCCCGGGCCCAGTCTCTGACCATTCGCCTTTGATTATCAGCTGCCAGCGGCCCTCTCCCCGCACGCTCTGACACGGCGAGCCTTATATGGAAGCGGTCGCCACGGTAACGTGTCAGTTTCGCTCCTCGTGTCAAAGTTCACTATATACTGACATCCGCGCTTCTCCTCCTTTCAGAGGCGCACTCCGCCAAGCACCAGCTCCTTCAAACGGCGCGCACTCTCTGAATATTTTATTAGGGGAGGTTTCTTTTTTTTTTTGGGGGGGGGGTGGGGTGGTGGTGGTGGTGGCGGCCGGGAAACTTCGGGCCGCGAAGTGGCTTCTGTCTTTTAAAAAAAAAAATTTGGTTGTTGCGCGTCTCGCCGTCTCTCCGTCTCTCTTCCCTGCGCTCTCTCGGAGTGTCTCGAAACCTCGCGCGAGCCCGCCTCGAATCCGTGAGAGTGTTTCGCCTTGAAATTGTTTTGCGTGCGGCGGAAAGCAAGTCAGAAACAAATCCGATTTCTCATTTGCGGCCACTGTGACTTTGCTCTCCGAGCGCTAGGGTCGTCTATTGTCGTAGCCTTATTCGGATTTTTTTTTTGTTGTCGTTAAGACAGATGCGCGCAGCTTTGTAATCTTTAACCTTTCGTTCGGTATTTTATAATAATAATATATTGCTTTCCTGAATGGCTGGCTGCGCTCTGCCCTGGACCTGGCCTTCCGACACCCACGTATCCTGAACTCCTCCCGCCCTGCAACCACCCGCCCGCCCGCCCGCCCATCGCATCTCGTCGCCTCCGCTCGCACCGACGACTCTTCCTCCTCCTCCTCCTCTTCGTCTGTACCGCCGTCGCGAACGATACGACCACCACGACTACCGCCGTCGTCTTCTCCTTCACCATCGCCGCAATCGACCCAACCTTCCTCCCGAATTGGGCAGACGCTCTCCGCTCCCCTACCTCTCCCCAAGCTATGGCAATGGTAGTCGGGCCGTGGCGAGACCCACAGGGCGACCTGACCAGCCCCCCGAACGTGCCCGGCCAGGCGGGCCAAGCCCCGCTGGCTCCCGCGGGGCCGCAGACGCCGCAGACGCCGAGTCAGTCGGGCGGGCCGCCCACGACTCCGGGCCAGGGCAGCACGCAGGGTGACAAGCAGCAGCAGCAGCAGCAGCCGAACGTGGAGTGCGTCGTGTGCGGAGACAAATCGAGCGGCAAGCACTACGGACAGTTCACGTGCGAGGGATGTAAAAGTTTCTTCAAGCGCAGCGTTCGCCGGAACCTGACCTACACGTGCCGCGCCAATCGGAATTGTCCCATCGACCAGCACCACCGCAATCAGTGTCAGTACTGCCGCCTCAAGAAATGCCTCAAAGTCGGGATGCGACGCGAAGGTACAGAACACGCGCTAACATCAAACACACACACACACCATACAGTCTCTCTATTATTTACGGGTCTGCGTGCATGCGCGCGTGTGTGTGCGCGTGCTGTGGTGTGCATCGTGCATTCGCATAATGCGTTCGGACTGTAAATAGAAAAGCTGCCATCACGTATTGTCCATGCGTTTATGAAATGCGTCCCCCCCCCCCCGCCCCCCACCGCAATTAGACGCTATGCGTGAGATGATTCCAAATGTGTGTCGTGTGTGTGTGTGTGCCTGTCGTATGTCGCGCGTGTCTCGTGTGTGCGTGTCTCGAGTGTGCGTGTCGTGCTATTGCATGCGCGTGTTCGTGGTTGCCCGTCGGTGGCGTGTGCGTGCGTCTGCGCGGTGTGCGTGTGTGTCCGCGCACACGTGTGTCTGCGTGTATGTCCACTTGCTTGTGCATATATATACACGCGTGCGTTTGCTTTAGTCAATTGTAAGCCCCCCTTTTTCAGTTTTTGCCGCCACGTATACAGTACAGTAAATATTGTAACCCCCTTCCCTCCCTCCCTGCTCATCCCCCCCCCCGCCCCCCCCCCCCCACCATTCTCTGTGCTTGACCCCACACTGTCGATGTGACTGCCCCGTAGATCGTGCGGGTCTCGGGTCTGCAATGCAACGGTCTTCTCTGTCTCCCATTGCAGCCGTGCAGAGGGGAAGACTGCCTCCCTCGCAGCACCCGAATCCGGCACAGTACGCCCTGGTTAACGGCGACCCTCTGAACGGCCACTCGTACCTCTCGGGCTACATCTCGCTGCTGCTGCGCGCCGAACCTTACCCCACGTCGCGCTACGGCAGCCAGTGCATGCAGCCCAACAACATCATGGGCATTGAGAACATCTGCGAGCTGGCTGCGCGTCTCCTCTTCAGCGCCGTGGAGTGGGCGAGGAACATCCCGTTCTTCCCCGACCTGCAGATCACGGACCAGGTGGCGCTGCTACGACTCGTGTGGAGCGAGCTGTTCGTGCTGAACGCGGCTCAGTGCGCCATGCCGCTCCACGTGGCGCCCCTGCTCGCCGCCGCGGGCCTCCACGCGTCGCCCATGTCCGCCGATCGCGTGGTGGCCTTCATGGACCACATCCGCATCTTCCAGGAGCAGGTGGAGAAGCTCAAGGCGCTGCACGTTGACTCGGCCGAGTACAGCTGCATCAAGGCGATCGTGCTGTTCACCACGGGTGAGTCTTTTTTGAGAGATGAGACGGCGTGGATGGAGAGATGGATGTGTGTGTGGCGGTGGTCCGTTGTTTGTTTGTTTATGGGTGTGTTTATTAGATGGTGCCGGCGTGCGTGTGTCACGGGCACCTTATGTTTTGCGGTTACATTTTCATTCAGCAATTTCACATTTAAATTTCATTGCATTACAGTTTTTGCGATGATTTTGATCGTAATGATCGTAATTATTTTTACTCGCAAGCAGTATTTTTTTCTAAATAGTCTATACGTGTTTTCATTTTGATAAAGAAGCACAAATTAAAGCGTATGCTCCATTACATTTGTAATATACACGTGCACACTTTGGCCTGCATACACTTTGAGTTATAGCAATTAATGGAACACATTTTGCAGCTTTGAGCAGGGGAAAAAAACTGGCGATATTACTTTTAAGTGGAGAACCGCATTTTTAAATGCATATACTTTTTTTGGTAACACTTATTAAACACGTTGCTAATTGTGCGGTTCGACACCACGTAATATCGGGATAAATTCTACCACTGCATGCAATTAAAGGGAAGTGTTTGGGCTTAAGAGACGCCACGAAACGATAATTTGCGACATTATACAATTATTTGCGAAATATGGCTACGGCTGTGTTAAGTATACGCGTTCGTATGCACACACACACACACGCTCGCAAACAGGCAAATTCGACCGCTAAACATTTTACAGGAGCGTTTTTGTGTGTGTTGCCATTACAATGTACACGGCGCGTAGCTCTCGATGGCACTTAATTTGCAGGTACACAACCCCTTGACAGCTTAAGCACCGCTAACTAATTTGCATGTATAAAATATTCAGTGGAAATCCACGTACAGTGTGGTGTAATCTGGACACGAAGCTATGCACGTGTACGCATTTAAATGGGGAAGGGGGGGGGAGTTCAGGACGTTTGCGCCCACGTGCAGACCGCGTGCTTTCTTCACAGTTTTCACCGCATGAAATGGGCACACGCTGCTGCTTCTATGCTGCTGCTGCTGCTCCGTGTATTATTAATTCACGAAATTGGGATTTTTTTTTCTCTCGTCCACGTGAACACATGTCGTGTATGTCACCGCCCTCGTCAACACTGGGGCAGCGGTAGCAGCAGATGCGCACGCTGCGGTGTAATGCAAGCGTGAGAGCACGTGCTTTGTACCTGTTACGTACAGTGGTCCTGTGCTTTTAGGCCACGAGACGTGTTCGCGTGGAATGTTTCGTGAATGATACCGACAGAAATGTGCGTTGTGCGTCGTCGTGTATGCGGGTATCGTGTTAAAGGGGTTGCCAGCCGCAGGCCTTGATAACGTCGTTTGATACATCGAGTTTGTTATGTTGGGGGAGCGGTGGGGCAGATAGTGCGTACACTGCGCCCTGAAACTGGCCACCTGAGTTCGATTCCCCCGCCACGATTCGCATCAGTGGGCGAGTAATATCTCGCCCGTGTCATTAAACCAGCGTGGTGAAGTACGGTTAAATAACCTCCACGGGGTCGACATATAGCGTAGGGGAAGGCCTTCTTCATTGACAAAAGGGCTGTGGATTAAACATCATTGTTCGATACGCCCTGCGATCCATGCGTGCTATTTGAGTTACACGGTAGATCCTCACGCCCTCGCAATGTTTACCCTCTGAGAATAATAACCCCTTTGAAAGTGTCCACGATATATTATTATCATTAGTACGCATTACGATACAATGCATGGCACGGACATTAACGTATAAACAACATAACAGACGGTGGCTTTTTTCGGGTGTGCATATTGCTGAACCATGAGCACGGAGGCGCCTTTTTTTAATTTACAGGCTTTGCTGCTTTCTTTGTCTCATTTCCCCTCCAAAGATGCGTGTGGCTTGTCGGACGCTGCTCACATAGAAAGTCTGCAAGAGAAATCGCAATGTGCGTTGGAAGAGTACGTGAGAAGTCAGTACCCGAACCAGCCGACCCGGTTCGGGAAATTATTGCTGCGCCTGCCGTCGCTTCGCACCGTGTCCTCTTCGGTAATCGAACAGCTCTTCTTCGTACGTTTGGTAGGTAAAACCCCGATCGAGACTCTCATCCGGGACATGTTACTGTCTGGAAGCAGTTTCAACTGGCCCTACATGCCTATCCAATAGAGAACACTCGCGTGCGCATGGACCGTGGGAACGGGCGGGGGGGGGGAAACAGACTTTTCGTCCTGGTGCCCAGAGGAGAGAGCAGGAGAAGGAAGGAAGGAAAAAAGCAAAAGCGGATGAAGTCTGTGAAGTGAGCAGGCCGGAGCGTTTGACTGTAAAAAAATATATCTTGTACAAAATGATGCCGGCGTATTTCTTTAGAAGTTTTATGTGTAGTGCAACATGGCAAGCTCTTAGTTATTATTGTTTATTTTTTTTTTGTAAAAAAAAATGGACATATTTTTTTCAAGCAATGGAAGGATGTCGATGTAAAGATTAAAAACGACAAAAAGGAAATTAACATTTTCCAAATTATTGTAAATTGTCCTGTGTCTATGTATCCATAGCTGTTTTGTATTTTCTGGTTGCAAACCAGTTTTTTCTCGTGATTCCATACTAATAATTTTGATATAACCATTTTCGTATACAGTACGGTGTATCTTGTAAGGTGTGTTTTAGACAAGTTTGAGAGAAAAAAAATGAAATAAGTAAATTCGATGAAATATTGAAACGAGGACAGATTTTTTTTTTTGGACTTCAAGATCCCGCTGAAAGCGCATCATATAAATAAATACAAGTATGCTCTCTCTATACCTCCATTGTCGTATGTGAATGGAATGTACTTGATACTTTTAAATGAAAGTTAAAACGGGGCCGAGTGCCGGTTGGTGTGACCAGTGCAAATCCCCTGGTCAGGCGAGGAGCCCCGCGTGTGTTATGTGTAGGTCGTTCGAGAGACCTGCATTGCATAGGCAAAGGTGTCTAAGGCACGCATGTCGGTGTGTTTATGAAGTCTCCTAATTCCCCACTCTGTAGAATGCTTCTGGTTTTTTTGTATAGTTAAACAAGAGGAGAAGAAGAAGAAGAAGGAAAAAAAATCATGCACGTTGCGTTGGCCAGAGTATTGGTTTATAAAACCGTAATACATTGTGTACCTACAAGACTTGACGCATTTATTATAATAACAACAATTATGAGAGAGAGAAACAAACAGTTGATGATGATCGTTCAAAGGTTGATGTCAAAACAGCGTTAATTACAAGAATATACAATGGGTTTTTTTAGTGTGCAGACCAATATCAATTTCATGAATTGTATTTATCTCTCAAGACTGCTGTTGTTCCACTACTCGATACGAAGGTCTCAATGTGAAATCAAAAGCGGACAGTGAATAATAATATGAAATTATGATGTTGACGATAATCATGATGACGATGACGCATGCATCAACTGCTTATGAATTCACTTGAATTTTTAAAATAATAATAAAGATATGTGTGCATCTTTCGAAAAGCATTCAGCCAGTCAGTAACCTTGGTAATGGACAAGTCTCATTCAATACGTATGTTGAGTTTACAATTGTAAATTGTATTAGCAGTGCTTTTATTTGTTATGTACATAAACCATTGGTATAAAGCAAAATAAAAAGTGTGTGCACCTTTGGGCTATTTGGCTCTTGCCTGACTTTGCATTCACTTTGTACAATTGCACTGGGACCCAAGGCAGCTTATAGTACTTACACAATGAGTTATTTTGCAGACAAATAAACAATACAAATAGTTTTAATGGTTTTTATTTAAATACATCACCTTGTAATTCAAACTCAAAGCGCTGTGCAGTAAAAATGACATCGCGTATAACTTTACTCTTCTGATCGAAATGCACATCCTTTACTTTGTCACTCTGAGCTCTTATAGTAGCTTTAATGTCAATTGCAGGACTTTTTTTTAGTTTATTTTTTTATTGTTGCCTTCATAAATAGATATCAGATTGACTGATAGACATTACCTATCTGTCCGCTGATTTAAACAAAAAACTGCATATTTATGCCATTTCGGAATTATTCGGAATATTTAAGACATTTTTTTTTGTTTTATTCTTAACAATGCGTTGTACATATCCCTTTGTTCATTTCCTCTCTTTCTCTCTGTCTCTGGAATCGCAGTAAATAATTTAAAAACAAAACGCAAAATCTTTAGCCATCGCTCTTGTGTGTTTGAATATCTCTCCCAGCTCCCTAATATAAAAGTGTACACATTGCATATTTTTGCGATGTTCAGACATTATAACGCATAAGTCGTATATGTATACAATGTATTTTCCTTGTTAACTTTTTAAATAATTAAAATAAAATACATTCTCGGAAAACATTGGCCTTATGTTCTTTTTTTACAATTATATTTTTGCATATACAGCACACAATATACTGAACAAACGATACCGTATAGCTGCATTACATTATCACAACAGCAATTGATAACGGTTTGCAGCAAGCATATGCATGAATCGTCATCCCCCGGAAGCACTCAGTCATATAATATGCACGGGTGTGCGTCCTCATGTGTAGAATCCGAGCGGTGGTACAACGTGCATAATGCGTGGTGGTCGTGGTGGTGATGGTGGTGGTGGTAAATGGATCTCTAAACGGCACGGGCGATAACAACCGTCCGACTTCCATAGCATCTCCGCTATCCGTGTGATCAGCGCGTGCTGTCTTGTCAAAGCTAAAAGCATCCAAACATTGAGCGCGTCTCTCCGGACCCCCCCCCCCCCCCTCCGCATGCTTCCACTGCGTTTCGACCCACAGTAACACAACAACAGCAGCACCACACAATCATTCTGCAGCGCAAAGCAACACGCCGTTGTGTATGTATATATACACACACACACGCAACACAACAGCGTGCCCGCGGCGACTGTGACTTGCTCGCTACCCTCTACGGTATCACCGAACCGATTCTGTGTCGACGTTCAATTCGGGAGCGCCTTGTGTGTGTGCGTGTGTCTATATATATACACACCGCGGGGAGCGGTAGTGTAGTGCTTAGCGCGCTGAATTAAGAACCTGGCGTACCGGGTTCGATTCCCGCACACGACCAACACCGGTGACGATTGTCTGAACCATTGCTGGGCCTCCCCTAGGTCGACTCAGCCTCAAATGAGTACCTGCTTGTAAACATTCGCCACTGGGGAGACAAAGGCGGCCGGGCGTAGTGTTGGCCACCCACCCTCTCGTGCGCCGCGCCGCACGACCTTCGAAGGTCCTCCCTAACAGCACTTGCCCCTACAGTCTGTGAAGGCTATACGGGGTGTGGGGGCTCTTTGTCTGTTGTGTGTGTGTGTACCATCGACGCATGTCGTGGTGTCATAACGCTGCTCTCTACCCCGCCGCTGGAGCGCCCTGCACCAAGGTGTCAATGGGGTGTGTCGTGCAAAATGGTGTATGCAGTACTACGTGTGTGTGTGTGTTCAGGTTGGGTTATTTCTTTTAATTCACACCTGTACGGGGGGGGGGGGTGCTGTGTGTATTGTGACACTGCACTGCAGCCTATGTGCCACGCACACAGCACAGACCCATAGCCCCCCCCACCCCCTACCTACGTAGGCTGCCAACGTGCGTTCTATACTTTCTTTTTAGTCGATCCATGCATGGCAAGCATGCGAGCGCGCGTTACAAGGATCTATTTGGCTGTTAAGTGTTACTGGAGCACTCGAGCCGAGGCTTGAACGCTTTACCGGCTGGCAGAATAAAAAAAAAGAAACAAAGAAGGAAAAGAGCGAGTGGGTGGTGGGTGGTGTTGGTGGTGGGGGGGGGAGCAAAAGGAGGAGAGGGGAGGAAAAAAAAGGGAACTCATTGCGAAGTTGAGAGCGAGAGAGGAGAGGCTGTGAAACGGCGGATCAAGCGTGCAATGCCCAGGCAGTGCAAAGCAAAGACAAAGCAAAAGGAGCGCTTTGCAATGCCTGCGACGCTCTAACATGGCTGCGCTTGCTGCTGCTGCTGCCTGCAACGTTTGTGTGGTCGTCTCACCACCACCACCGCCAGCAGTAGTAGCCGCAGCATCAGCAAACTCTCTCGTTTGTTCTTCCCGTGCCCTGCCTCTGCCTTGCCACGCTTACAGCCTTTGCCGCGCGAAGCATCGGCGGGCGTGAGTCATTAACAGGGCGAAAGGGGAACGAGAAAGCAGTGTAAGGGGGGGTTGTGAGCGGGGTGTGTGTGTCGGGGGGGGGGGACAAAATTAAACCCCCACGAAGCCTTTATCCTTTCGGTAAAGCTGAGGATTGCACGCAGGCAAAACAAAATGATACTTAATCCTCCTGAATGGCGCGTGGCTCCTGTTAGCACGCTCTGGCATAACACTGTATATGTAGGTTAGGGGGCTGTCCGATGGTCCCGACACTGGCTGTGCCACCACCATGCATTTGCGTGTTATGATGATGTAGGCTGTACGTGATCCTTGCCGCGTTGAGACTCAGCGCGCTGCTGTGCTGCATGTCCGTATGATGTTAGCGCCAACACTGCTCAAGAGATAACGTAGCTTCAACCGCCGTGCATTCATATAAAGTGTATCAGCGTGTAACGATCACATCACCGAATATGATGATGATGGTGATGCATGCCGGTGACTGTGTGTCAATGTCGCTGGTGGCGGTAGGGGGTGGTGGTGGTGGTGGGTTTTGTAAATATTTTCACAATTCGCGATTATTTTCACTTTCATTTCGAATAGCTCGCACCTTTGTGCTCCTTTGCACATTCGCGTCCACGTGAGAGATATTTTTTTCTCTCTCTCTCTGAAGGTTTTAACTCAATGTAAATCAATTTAGTTAACGTGTTGGCAGGGAATTGAAGCAATCAACGTTTCTAAAGGGCACGGCGAAGCTGAAATAAAATACACAGTCACTTGGGAGGTATATTAACTAATTACGTCCAATTGTGTAAACAGCATGAAGCAATTTACTATAAGTTGTGCGCAACTTTCGCGGTAATAGATGGTCTGGTGTTGATTTGGTTTGAGGGCATGTGGAACAGTGTGAAGCTACGAGAGAGAGAGAGAGACAGAAAACACCTTGTGTCCCGCGATCATTCATGCGTTCGTGGAAGAAAAAAAAAGCCTTTTAGTTTAGTTGGGATTTTGGGGGCTTCTATCCCCGGCACCACCCCACTGCGACGATACTTAATTATCTGGCCGCAGTCTATTGAACCTAATGGTATCCGACTGCGGGCGGGAAAGGGCTGTAATTACATTGCAGACGTCTCCGAATCGGAGGCCGGTCGGACAAACTCGTGACTGGCTGCTCTCTAATCGGCAGGCTTAACACACTCCGCGGCAGTTCCAACTTTCACTCGCGGGCATAAATTACAAACCTGTACTTAGGGTCTGGCACCCTTTTTCGTTTTGTGTGTGTGTGTGCCTCTGCCCTCCCTCCCCTTCATCCCCACGACACCCCTCCGCTGACAACGTCCCATCCACACACACACACGCGTCTCTCTCTCTCTTGTCTCTCTTATGGGTCTGTAAGATATATATAATGTTCAGCAAAAGCTACAGCGGTCAACGGGTGTTTAGACTAAGTTAGTCGATTGCGCTGCTGTTTTATGCCACGCGGGCGCGAAACGGAGTGGTTTTGTTGAGATTTGCTGCGCCGTTGAATAGGATTCAGGTGCACGAGAAGCTTCGACGTACACACGCTCTTGCACGTATCACCCATCGCACCGGTCACCAATTATACGTCGCAAACCCCTCTCCCGCTAGACCGTTGCAAAGATAAAATATGTACGCGTATATATACACACACACACGCGCGCTCAAGTTGTACACCACGTAAACCCACGCGCGCACACCGTACACGCCGCTCGATTCGCACACACGCGCACCTAAACCGGTGCACTCTGATTTAGTTTCGCGTGATTGTTTTTTTTCTTTTAACTCACAGCCACGCAATTAATAACGCACTCTTGATCCTAACAATAAATGTTTGTATTTTAAAAATACATAAATGTATATTAAACGGACAAATGTGAACGTACACGATTTGATTTAGCCGGACTGACATATATATACACACACACATTTTTTTTTTTGGGGGGGGGGTTACATTCGCGTGTGAAGAGATACAGAGCCCTCCCGTGCCCTTCAAACTGTGGGACTCAACCAAGGGATTGGTTTGTCGCTAAACATAGCACATTTCTGTGCGCGTCAAGACTTGAAATTTTCGCGACAGCCACGCAAGATATTTTACTGCTTCTCGTGAACCAGAAGAAGAAGAAAGGAAGAAAAAAAATATCCGGCTTTGTTTATTCTTTGGAAGATTTTTTTTTGTCTGCTTCTGGAAACGCCTGGGAGTACGTTCTCAATTGACCTATTTTTAGGACTTCATAGATTGTTAGCGGACTTCAGTTTCGTTTTATCCTCGCAGGAGTCGTATAACAAACACACTTCAAAGTTTAAGCCATTCATTGGTTTCAAAAGGAAAACGATCGAGCCATAGATTAACACACTGGCATCTGCGATGATGAATCCGCGTTTTTATACCACGACATTCCCCCCCCCCCCACCAATAATTTATTTTCGTACGTTCACGATATTATAATACTTATTCACTTTACAATTCGCCATTATAATAATTATAATGCACATTCTCAACAAAACATGAATGTTATTGTCC